ATGGCTTGAGGGTGAGTAAATTATGGGGTAATTTTCATTTTTGGGTGAACTATCCCTTTAACCACTCAATTAATTAATGGTACTTTCAGAAGTCATTTCTTTTTCTTAAATGTGTTGATTGCTATTTTGTTTTGTTTCCCAGCGGAAATTTTTTTTATAACTAGCCAAGGTGGTTTGCTGGTGTAACCTGGGCACCACACTGGTGTTATTTTAGTAGTATTTATATATTTATATATAGTATTTATTCATGTTTTTAATTAGTCTTTTTTTTTTTTACATTTTCTTTCTTTTTAGTATTTATTAATATACATTATTAATATATTTTTAGTAATTGTTATTATTATATGTAAAACTTTTTCATTATTTGTACTATTCATTTAAATATTTTAATAATAATTAAATATGTAAATATAAATAATTATTATATAAAATATTAATATCTTTAGTATTTATTAACATATCTAAGATAATATTCTTTTTAGTATTTAGTCATTTTTTTAGTTAGTTTTTATTTTTATATTTTCATTATTTAGATATTTATTAATATATTTTATTAACAATATTATTTTAATATGTATTGTATTATTATCTCTAAAAATATATCTAATATAATTTATTATTATAATAATATAATATATAATTGTTTTAGTGTTTATTAATGTTTTGAATTAGCTTTTTTATATTTTTATTATTTTTTTGTATATATTCATATATTTTTATTAATATCATTGATTTATTAACATGTTTAGTATTTATAAATATTTCGTTATTTTACAGCGTTTATTAATATTTTGAATTAGCATTTTTTTATTTTCAGATTTCATTTTCATTTTTTTTCCTGTGTGCTTTTCGTCATTTTTATTAGTTTTTTAATATGTGAAGCTATTTAGCTGTAATTTATTTAAATGTTAGTTTTAGTAATTTCAGTACTTCGATAAACTTCAATAAAACTTACTTAAGTTAGTTGCCAAGACAGCATTTCTCATTTTCATTTCAGTTATTAATTTCATCTAATATTTTATTTTATTTCAGATTTATTTCAATTAACAAAAACTATTTTTATTACTTTTAGTTAACGATAACAACACCACGCTGATCAGACTGGTCTAGGATGATTTTACAGGAGTTCTGGGCGGGTGTCAGTTGATCAGACCAGCTAAACCACCTTAAACCAGGAAAGACCAGCAAACCACCTTAGGCTGGATTAAGCTGTTTTTTTTTTTTTTCAAAGCAAGAAAGCAAAATAAATTAAGTTCTATTTCGGAACCCTTTGTACCCTGTTGCCATGGAGACCTGCCAGGGTTGAGACACAGGTCACACAGAGCAGCTGACCAGGAATCAGACACACAGTATCAGAGAGAGGAGAACAGGAACTGCACAGATCAGAGAAATACAGACCCATGAGGAGGTGCAGAGGAGGAGGAAAACAGAGGAAGAACAGCAGGAAGTCAGTGATCAAACCCTCATCATGCAGCTACAGACTAAAACTAGTCCCTAGAAGCCCGTGGTCTTTTCCAGGAGTGTGTTTGCACACAGAAAGAGTGAGAACGCACCTTGCCCTGGGCCTCCTTCAGCTGCTTCTCAGCTGCCGCTTGTTTCACGTTGGCCTCTCGCACCATCTTATGGGCCTCCTAGAAATGAGAGATGAACGCACACAGGTTTGTGACATGAAATACTTTTGGGAAACAGACATGTCCTGTGTCTGACATGCTTCGAAAATTATTTTGAATAGCATTTTGCTAATGTTTTTATGCATGCAGCATTTTTAGCCAATTTTACATGAATGGTGAGACTACATTGAACATTTTTTAAATATTAAAATATAAAAATAAAAAATAAAATTACAATTATAAATAAATATGATTCATTATTAATTATAAAATATATTTTTAAATGTATTACAAAATTAAATTGTATTAAATTGTAAAATATGTTTTTAAATGTAAAAATTAAATTGTATTAAATTGTAAAATATGTTTTTAAATGTAATATTAATTGTAAGACTATATGAAATATTTTTTTTAAATTACAAATATAATTAGAAATTAAAAATAAAATTACAATTATGAATAAAAATTCATTATTAATTATATTATTATATATTATAATTATATAAATATATTAATTATAAAATATATTTATATTTAATAATTAAATTACATTAAACTGTAGATTTAATTGTGTGGCTCCATAAATCAACAAAGAAATAAATAAATATGATTTATTTTTAAATGTATATAATTATATTAATAAATTAATTATTATAAAAATTATTTTATAATTTATTACAATATTCAATAATATTAAATTGTTAATTTGTTTTACAATAAAAATTAATTTGTCACCACAACATCATTTAAAATGAGCTACTAGAGGCAAAATGATTACTAAAAAATTGATGACCAAAGATACAATCCCTTAAACTAAAATGTAATATAATGTCAGTCTTCATGGCACATGTGTCAGTCTCTACACTGATACACAATAGTCTTCTCTGTTCACTGTCAATCTACTGCCAGTGATGATGTCACATTAGTCCCGCCCACCTCAAATAGACTGGCGGTCAATTCCTCCAGTTCCTGCTCCAGCTGATTCCTGACATGAGACAGTTTGACACACTCCTCGTCTTTCAACTTCAGCTCCTGAAAACACAGACGAGAGTCTATAAAGCATATTTGAATAGAACCGATTTGAATGTTAAATAAACACCAGTCTACCCAAAAACACACAGCTTTTGGCTTCACCAGATGTTAACTGATGGACTGGAGTGGTGTGGATTATTGTGGTGTTTTTATCAGCTGTTTGGACTCTCATTCTGACGGCACCCATTCACTGCAGAGCATCCATTGCTGAGCAAGTGATGTAATGCTACATTTCTCCAAACCTGTTCTGATGAAGAAACAAACTCATCTACATCTTGGATGGCCTGAGGGTGAGTACATTTCAGCAAATTTTCATTTCCGGGTGAACTATTCCTTTAAAGAACCAAAGCACTGATCTGAAGAACCTACAAGGAAACCTCAAGAACCTTTTTACACCGAAAACTGGTTCTTGGCGCAGAATAGAACAGAATAGAATATGTGGCACCTTTTGTGCAGCATCCAGCTGCTCTCGGAGGAATTCTGTTCCTTTCTCCTTGATCTCCAGAGAGGAACTCCGCAGACGGGACATGTTGTACGTCTCTCGTCTGTGTGCTCCTGCCTCCTCCTCCTCCTCCGGGGGCATCTTCTCCCGCTGCCCCACATCACCCCCCAGTCCAGGCCTCAGATCTGGCTCCAGGTCTACCAACCTGCAAGATTCACCAATTCACAAAAACACGATATCAAAAATCCAAAAGGAATATGTTCAGGATGCATATTGGACATTAATTATTACATTTAAACAAAATGTTTCAAGGCTATAAAACTAAATTAGATCCCACTGTGATTCCTAACTGTCCTGTTGCCAGTGTTGGGGAGTAACTAGTTACATGTAACAGAATTATGTAATTTAATTACAAAATAAATGTAAATGTAATCAGTTACAGTTACTGAGAAAAATGTGTAATTAAATTACAGTTACTTATGAAAATGTTAACGATTACAAAGGGGGTTACATTTGAATATTTTCACACACACACACACACACACACAGATTAAATTACAGTGATTGCTCTAAAATATGAGACACCAATGTTTCAGGAGTTTAGGACACAGAATACGACACATGCTTAATTGATAACTGTTTTATTTCCTATTTGGGTTTATGTACACGCTTTATTTAAGATTAACTGTTTTTTTCCAAGGCATTGTTAGATGCCAGTGTCTCCAGTCATATAGCTATGCAAAGATTTGATTTCCAAAACAGTATCTAGCTATTAAACTATTTCTTGTTAATTGTTATGATTTTAAATCAGTATTTAACCTCAGAATGATTTCAAAGTAAAAAGAGGTGCTAAAGTCTGATTTTGTGGTGGCTGTGCTTTAAAGGGGTCATATGATGCGATTTCAATTTTTCCTTTCTCTTTGGAGTGTTACAAGCTCTTGGTGCATAAAGAAGATCTGTAAAGTTGCAAAGACTAAAGTCTCAAATCCAAAGAGATATTCTTTATAAAAGTTAAGAGTCAGCCACGCCTACCTAAAACGGCTCGTTCTAACACGCCCCCACATATCTACCCCCTTTAAAATTAAATGATTATAATCTTAATTCAAGTGATGAAGACTTTTGAAACTTCCCAACACTGCCAATATCCAAACAAGGACCATCTCCAAATTCCTTTTACAATATAAGAATAATCTAGTCATGAAAACATAACGCCACACCCTCCTGCATATAGTCTGACAGAGCAGTTAATGATTTCGTACACGATCAAAATCAGCACTGACTGAACTTCAGGGCGGTTTATGTAACTTTGCGCTCCGCGGTAGTCGCGGCATTTTCCGTCTGCGCTCCCCGCCCTTCCCCTCACCGCGCCCGGCTACAGGACTCCCGCGACCCGCGGTCACCGCGCACCGCACACCCGCTCGCGTCAACAGTAATAATGTGACAATCTAACAAAGTTACAGTGTTACAAAGTTGCAGCTCCGCTTTCCCGAAATGAACAGAGATAAACAGTAAGAAAAATACCAATAGATCTCTAGAAACTTTGAAGTTTTCCGAACCCGACTGAGCTCTACAGCTGAGATCTAATCCAGATAAACACTCCGGAATCCGGATCCGAGCGAGAAGTCCGTGATGTTTTGTTTTGGGTCGGACAGTTTTTGCAGACTTTCCTCTGAGATTGAGCAGGAAAAATGTCCAGCTGTCAATCAAAGGTCACATGACCGAGCGGAGGCATCCAGGAATCACGTGATACGCCTCAGACAAATAGTTCAGTGTAACTATTCTATTCTGTTCTATTCTATTCTGTATGCTATTTATGATTATTATGTTATTTTGCTCCTTTCTTTATGTGTTATGTTATTTTATGTTACATTGTTTGCTCAGTTTTAGTATGTTCCCATCCATGGTTCTGTTATGTTGCATATATAATTTTATGTGCTATGTTATTTTTGTTCTATTGTTTTGTATGCTATGTTATGTTGTATTGTTCGTTCAATTCTGGTATTTTATATATTGTTTGTTCAGGTCTAGTATGTTTCACTCTGTTATGTTGCATATTATGTTATGTTATGTTACATTAAATTGTTTGTTCACTTCTAGTAGGTTATGTTTGTTCCATTCTGTTATGTTGTGTGTTATGTTATGTTACATTGTTTGTTCAGTTCTAGTATGTTGTGTATGTTATGTTACATTAAATTCTTTGTTCAGTTCTAGTATGTTATGTTCGTTCCATCCTGTTATGTTATATTATTATGTTATGTTAAATTATTTGTTCAGTTCTGGTATGTTATGTTGGTTCCATTGTGTTATGTTTTATTTTACGTTACATTATATACATTATATATATTACATTTATGCGTTACGTTGTTATGTTACATTAAATTGTTTGTTCAGTTCTAGTATGTTATGTTCGTTCCATCCTGTTATGTTATGTTATATTATTATGTTATGTTAAATTATTTGTTCAGTTCTGGTATGTTATGTTGGTTCCATTGTGTTATGTTTTATTTTACGTTACATTATATACATTATATATATTACATTTATACGTTACGTTGTTATGTTACATTAAATTGTTTGTTCAGTTCTAGTATGTTATGTTTGTTCCATTCTGTCTGTGTGTTGTTATACGTTGCGTTATGTTGTGCTATGTTATGTTACGTTACGCTATGTTATGTTACGTTGCGTTATGTGAAGTTACGCTATGTTACGTTACATTATGTTACATTAAATTGTTCAGTTCTGGTATGTTATGTTGGTTTTATTGTGTTATGTTATGTTGTTATGTTTCATTAAATTGTTTGTTCAGTTGTAGTATGTTTGTTCCATTCTGTTATTTTGTTATGTTATGTTGTTTATTCAGTTCTGATATGTTGTTTGTTCCATTATGTTATGTTGCGTATGTTATTTTATGTGTTGTGTTTTGTTGAGTAAATTTGTTATATATGTTGTATTTTTGTTATATTATGTTGTTACTTAAATGTTCCTAGTTCTGATTGATTTTCACACATTGATATTGTGTGCCTACAGTTCTGCTCATTCAGCAGGATGCGTTTAAATCCTCATTATACATTCACAAAAATAATTGTGGGTGAAAGATTTTGCTCACCATTTAGCAGTTGTTCATAACATTAGACGTTATTGAAGTTAAATCTATAAAAAGCAAACAGAGTAATACTATGGTACTTTTTGTGGTGAAATCTTGACGTACCTCCCGACCGGGCATCTCTCTTTCTCTGCTGTATGCTGATCCGTAAAATCACCTTTGCCAAAAAATGTAGGTGACGAGTATACAGCTATCCCAGAATTCCCTGCCACCAGCACCTCGTACCCTGGAACAGACCTGGAGCGTGCAGGAGTTGAGGAGGAGAGCTGCACACGATGGATTCCTTCAAAGGCGTCCATCACAGAAAGTATATTCCCAGTCTAGCACCTCTTAAAAACACACACTCGCCGTGAGTGCACTCACTTCAGCTGCATTTCTCACAGCCAGCCTGTTAAATACAGAGAGATTAGATTCACATTCAGAGATTAAGACTTTGTAGTTTTTTTTCATGCATCACTGCTAAAGTTTCCATTCAGTTCATCAAAGTGTAACTAAAGCATTGCACCATAACCTAATGTTTGCAAAAATGTAGTTAAATATCTACCTAACATGCTCTCAAAGAGACAAAACTGGAAAGTATTTAAATATGAAAATGGATAAATACTCAGACTACAACTACAACATTTATTCTTTTTATACATAAAAGTATAAAATAATTATATATGCTGTAAACTGGAAATAAAAGTTATGACATTAATGATATGATAAAATGTTCAAAAAAATTTTGTAGTTGCTTTTGATATAGAAAGGGTGAAGTGTAAGTGTCATTTTAAAATGCGCCATATAATAGGATGTATCAAACGTCTCCGAGTCCTTCCCATGTCAAATACAATGACAGAACACAACAGAACAATCAGGCTTACCCCAGTGACCTAATGCGGCTTTTTCTCCACAGACTCTTCATGCAAAAGCACTTTCAAATACCCTACTCTCGTTAAATACACTCTCAGATGCTATTAGCATGTTTTGAGTATCTAAACAGTTGCAGGTCTTCACACTGGATGACACAAGTTGCACTGTCGTTCCAACCCTGAACGGAGTTCCAGCACTTGTGTTCAGGCATGGGTTAATGAAATGGGGCCACACGCAGAGGTGCATTTCCTCCACTAGAGGGCCCTACATAGTGCACTAAACACCCTGCTGAGGGCCTCTGTGATCAGAAAGTGTTTATTGGAGCCTAAACTCCACATGATAGATTAAGAAATGTTGATTTCCTGTGCATCTACATAATATTTACATTTCATAACTGCAATTAATACATGACTCTTTTAATGGAGAATGTGTGAGTGTTTGTGCGTGTGTGAGTTTTGAAAGATTTGCTCAGATTAACAAACCCCCCAGTTTTCCACAATGCCTCTTTGTTAGTGGAAAACAGATTAACAGGTCAAGTGACCGGAGGTGTGGGTGTCTCTGCTCGATCTTTCCCGTCTTTAACGGTTCCGGTAAAGACGTCAACTCCCAAAACATCACACGCTGTGAGTAGAGTTGCTTTTTTCTTACAGATACAATGTTTCAGGCCTACAGACAAGGAATGGAAAGCAGTTGCATTTGATATGATGGACGTACAGTCTGATGTTTTCTGTTTCTCTTTTAATACTTCTCACATTTGCTTCATTTGACCCATGCATTTGAATATAACTGGCTTGTTGCAATTAGTTTAGATGCTGATGCATGCTTACTAACATCTGATTCAGCCAGTGCTGAGCATGCATGCATGTGTTTCCTGGTGTAGATGTCCATGCTTATCATCTCTAATCAAGGTCAGTAGAGACTGTGATTGACAGGCTGTGAGTGGTCTTCCTGTCCAGCGATGACGGTGACATACTCACGGCGGGTGGCAGATGCGCGCCTGGGCACCTTTTATCGCCTGCTTCTGCGATGGAAAGGAAGCATCTACAAACTGTTATATCGAGAGCTGCTGATCTTCACTGTGATGTATGGCACCATCAGCATCACATACAGGTGAACACTGATTCTTCACTTTCTTTACTTGAGCCAAGCTTATAGTGATGGTACGATGGTAAAGTAATGGTGTTAGATAGATATACCATGGTGTTTTGATATGTATCATGGTATTAAAAGACAAAAGTGCCATGTTTTTAAGACATATATCATGGTAGCATTATCAAGTACATGGTATGTTCAAGAATACTGTGGTACTAATATTTACAATAGTAGTAGTATAGTATTTCTGGAAGTATGTTGGCGTAACATGTATATGAATTTCAGTAGCGCTGGTATATTTCAAAGTACCATGATTGATATCTTATTTGGACTTTATGGCATTACATATGGCATTGCCTACCATGCTACATGTCCAAAAACATGGGATTACCTTTGTACCATGTCTAAAAACACGATAATACCATGGCACTTTGATATACTATGGTGCTAATAAATTATATACCAAATCCATATACCATGGTATTTTCATATTTTGAATTTACTGCAAAGATGCAGTATGGTACTACCATGGTACATCCCTAAAAACATGTTACTACCATAGTACATGTTCAAAATGTTTCAGAGTACCATAATATTACCATCACTTTACCATGGTATTTTTTTTTTTTTGTAAGGACATGTACTTACTAAAGTACTACCATAAGGATTTGGGACATGGTACCATGACATTACCATGTTTATTTTTTAACGTTTACCATATTTAGTAGCACAGTATTGTTGAAAGTATATTGGAGTAACATGTAAATACATTTCAGTATCAGTGGTTGTACCATGGTACTTTTTTAGGTTTGAAATGTATATGGTACTCCAAAAGCTATTTCAAAGATTACCATGGTAAATAAAAATATATTAATACTATGGTATTTTAATATGTACCAGGATACTACAGTAAATGATTACCATATTTATATACCATGGCATTACCTGTCATGGTACATGTCCAAAAAACGTGGTACTTTGATATACTATGGTACTCAAGCGTGTATGTTTGATTTTGGGTATCATGTTTGATCAAAATTACTGCTGGGGACAATTTAGTAGTCACTGGATATCGACAGGGACATGTCCCGAGCATCCCTAATAAATTCTTCGCCCTTGATGGTGCTAACTGATTACCAAATCCATATGGTCAAGTTACTGCAAAGAATGGTAAAACTTTATTTTAAGGTGTCATTGTTACAGTGTAATTATACATTTAAGTACTGAGTAACATTAATTAACTACATGTACTTACTATATGATTAGGATTAGGGTTTGTCTTAGTGTTACTCGCATGTAATTATGCATAATTTATTGTTATTATAATAAAGCAATAAGCCCCAAGAAGCCGTGGTTTACAGTGAATTTATAACAGCTAAGGGGCGTTGTTAGGCACGACACGAAGCAGAGTTCCTAAAACCCCCTTAGCTGTTATAAATTCACTGTAAACCATGGCTTCACGGGGCTTATTGCTTTTATAAAACGGTTATTCCATATACGTAGTAAGGTTTCACAAAATAGAACAGAGCAAATAAAGTGTAATATTAATAAAAGCATTATTCTTCCGCCAAACAATGTAGTTCCTCTGAATCGGTTGTGGTTCCAACAAAGTGGTTGCCGAGCAACACACAGAAGTAAACAAAGGTGTATTGTTTGTAGAGTAATTTACAACAGCTTCGAACTTGGCTCAACCAATCAGAATCAAGGACCGGAACCATCCGTTTTATAATAGTAAGTACATGTAACATGTGTAACAAGGACACCTTAAAATAAAGTGTTACCCAAAGAATTGAATGAGTGGTGCATCTCTAAATTCATAATGTTACTGTTGTAACATCAGAAAAAAGCATTGTAAGGGTGTTTTGTCCGTGCAAATTATTGTTCAAATTTTCTTTCAGTCTACAGTGACAAAGAGTTTTACTTTTAATAGTTTTATTTAATAAATCACCAGTTATTGAAATATGCACTCTTTGATTGACAGGTGTATACTGACTGAAGAGCAGTGCAGGATGTTCGAGAAGCTCTCCGTGTACTGCGATCAGTAAGCGCAACTGATTCCCGTGTCATTCGTACTGGGTAAACCTGATTTACAGTAGTGCTTTTTTTGGGATTAAAACAATCAATTCTCAACTTCTCTCTCTTCTTGCAGGTTTCTACGTGACTCTTGTGGTGACTCGTTGGTGGGGTCAGTTCGAGAGCATCCCGTGGCCGGATCGCCTGTCAGCGCTGGTTAGCGGACACGTCTGGGGTGCAGATGAAGGGGCCAGACTCGTCTGCAGGAGTCTAATGCGTTACGCCAACCTGTCAGGCATCCTGATCTACCGCTCGGTCAGCACCGCCGTCTACAAGAGGTTCCCGACCATGAGCCACCTGGTTCAAGCAGGGGATTCAGGCCAAGAAATGTGGCCTAGAACAGCGATTAAAGCCATGTTTTGTGCCGCTACCTTTCAGTATCTGGGATTTAACCTCAAAGGGGAAACAGGAAGGAATTACGGCCAGATCCCTAAGAGCTTTGGCTGTATATAGTTCACACAAACGTAAATTCTGTCATAATTTACTCAACCTCATGTCAAGTCACTTTTATTTATACAGTGCTGGACTGTTTTATTCTATACAATAAAAGTGAATGGGGCTGCAAAAATGACAAAAACCCTGTAAAAGTGCTTTGTACTTTTGTAGGGGGGCATTGTAATTGTACCAAATCCTTGTTAATGTACTACATAAAGTCTGTAAGATTGTACCTTTTACATCCTAGTCTAGTTTTAATATTAGAAACAGTAGGCTACTAATAGTATTAGTTATGTATTTTTTTAAGCTATGCCTCTGGATAATTGATTTTTAGAATAGAGATCACCGTTCTCCCACGATTCTGAAAACAAAACATTAGACAACCAAACAAAATAATTTGTAGGACAATTTACTTGAGTTTCTGAAAAAATGCTTATTTAATGTTATAAATGAGTCTATTTGAAAATATTTATTCATTTAAATGAATTCATTACGTAAAAAATAATTTGAAATAAATATATAATGTTTCGTCCGGAGATTTTGAACGTAGGCCTATCTCTTGAATGAATGATTCAGACATCAAATACATTTTAACAGTCACTGGTCACCACCTACTGGCATAATGTAACATATACAATCTTTCTGGATCAGCGGCTGCACGAAAGCAGGTTTAAATATTCGGATGTGATTGTGATTTCAAAGGCTTAATAGACATAGCGGAATCATCGTCATTTAGAAATAAGATTGTGTTTGTTTGAATCGAGATCACGATCTTTTAATGATTAATCGTGCATACAAATGAGCCTGTAGCCTATGTATTTTTGTATGTCATATTTGTACCAGACCTCAAAGGTAACCTGGGCCCCCCCCCCCCGTGATTTTTGGAGCTTGACAGCCCCTGATCACTGTATGATTTCATGCAAAAGAGCAAAGTCAACATTCTTCATTTTGGGAGAAAGTCATATGGGTTGAAAACTCTCCTGTACTGTAGGTCTGATGACGGCTGAGGAACTGAGGCAGTTAGAGGAACTGCCCTCCCCTCATAATAAGTTCTGGGTTCCCTGCATGTGGTTTGTCAGTCTGGCCATGAGAGCTCGATCTGAAGGACGCATCAATAATGACGTCGCAATGACCGCCATCCTCAACGTATGTCTGTCTGTGTATATATAGACTCATCACTCCTGTGATTCTGATTGTATATGTGTCATAAATATCACTTTTTTTTACCAGAATATTTCGTATAGAATAAAAATGTTTGGTTAATATCCGATTTTATTTTACTGTTTTAATGTTTGCCATTTATGATGATGGTATTTATCATAGAATACCATTTGTAATATATTCAAGAAAACTCATATATGCAGTGCTGGGTAGTAACTGACAGTGTTGGGGAAAGTTACTTTTAAAAGTAATGCATTACAATATTGCGTTACTCTATAAAAAAGTAACTAATTTGAAAATAGTCCCCAGTACGCTCCCTGT